TAGAAGGGCTCAACAGATGATTTGACTGGGCAGAAGAGGGAGGGAGAGAGAGAGAGAGAGAGAGAGAGAGAGAGAGAGTTTGAAAATACTGCTTAAATGGCCTAGTTTAGTGCCGGGGCCAACCTGAATAGCATGCCCATCCCACATGTCACTTGTGGCACATTCCTGTCTCTAGACTGCACCATCTGGATCATATCACCCATAATAACAACTAATCTACTCCGACCCCTCTGATTTACACCTTTGTGTTCACTCAAAAATTATTCCCAGACCTGATGTCTTGGGGCAAGGTTCTACCCTGGAAGGTTGCCTGATATGTCTATCCCTAGCTCAGAGTCTCTAAACTACATTTCTAGCAAGTTTCAAGAAAACCCACTTTGGTAAAAGTTCTCTTCAGTAGCTTAGTTGAGTGATGATCTACATTCAGGTAGTTCCATCTTAGCTCTGTGTTTAAATGGGTTTTAAAAGGATGAGGGTCTTTCCCCCACTGCCTTTCTCCCCTCCTGTGGGAGAGCTGGTCCCGTCCTGTCTCTACTGAGACCTGAAAAATGACAATAAGACAATGTCACTGTGCCTAAGAGCTTAGACTCTTCAAACTCGGATCAACTACTTTTTAATGTACATCTACAACCATTTCTTTTCCTTTTGCAATTGAAAAGAATATTTTAAGTTCCTTTGAAAAAAAAACAGGGGTGTATCTGAAAGGACATTCTAAATTTTATTTACTGAGAATATTTCTCACAGGTTAGGAAAGAGGGATGTAAAGAGAAATGAAACCAGTCACATCTGTCTGCATGTTCAGGGACTCCTTGGAAATGAAAAGTGTCTGTCAGCAAGATACAGTTTTAATAGAGGGTGCTGATTCAGGTCAGACTTTCCAGGGAGTGGTGCATGTAAGATGGCAAAACCTTAATAAACCAGACTGCTTTACGCTCCTTGCTTCGCTTCATCTCTTGGGCCTTCCAAAGAAGGAAATTAGGTAAAACTGTCCTTTCTCCTCTCTGCTTCGTTTGTCTGTTGTCCTCTCTCTCACTTTCCATTTTCAAAACAACAGCGAAGGCACAGATCCCACATGACTGCGCATTTTTCTGACCAAAACTCTCTGGGGGAAAAACAATGATGAGTGCACCCTGATGTCTTCCAGGTTCCCCAGACAACTACAGACAGAAAACAGCTGAAGTCTGCTCCCAGTCACCTCTCCTTGACCCTGGAGAGAGAAACTGATGGCAAATTCCCGGCTGATTCTATCTCTGTGACACCATATCAAATAGGGAAGGAAATGGCCAGGGTGATGCTCCAAAAGGCCTTGTTCTTCAAGCTAGCCTCTAGGTTTCATTTGTTTTGCTGTACGTCCAGCTAGCCCATAGAAATAAAGTGGTTGAGCTGTCTGTCACGTGTGCTTTAGAGTAGTCATGCTTAAAGCCAAGTCTTGAGTAAGCATGAAATTAGGAGAGAAGGACTGGGTTCCAGTCTTGAGTAGGCCTCAATTTCCTTACTATAAAGTGAGATAGCAGCACTAGAGGCCCTGTAAAAGAAGAAGTTGGTAAAGTATTAGGAACACTGAGGTTAGCGCCATCAAATACCTTGAATTGTAAGTCAAATTTTTTTTGTGTGCATGATTTCATTGGGGATGTGTACATTTACCCTCGCTAAAAATCCATTAAGAACCATTAAGTTTTATTTCAACTCTAAAATTTATTGGAGTGACTATTGTTTATATAGTTAAATCCTCACTTGATTTGACCAATCACAGTACCAAAACCATAGTTATTTCAAATGCATTCTGAATAACAAAAATCAGGAATGAATAAGCCCTTTTCAGAACTAATCTTTGAATGCATATTTAAAAATTAATCTAGATCCTGATTATAAATTAATCGGGAAAATAATATGTTATATTTTTATAATTCTTAATATTAATAATTTTGAACTCTGAAACTTAGGACTTACCATTAATACAACAGACTACTGGCCTTACAGTTTTAAGTTTGTATGTATGCATGAAACCTGGTTAGAGATACTTTGTGCCTTGAATTTGTTTTTTTTTTTATAACATTGAAGTGGTCAGTTATATATCACACACATTCTTAAGAAGACTTGAAATAAATGGTATTAAAAATCTGTTTCTTTTTGGAAAATAACCCACAGATGATTTTCTTAAACCAAGAAATCTGGACAGGATTTTGAAGTCTGGACGATATCTGGCTTAGCTGTTTTGACTATGAAAACTTTTCTAGTTTTATTTCTCTGTTCTTAAATTTCTTCTCTCATTTCTTCCTTTTGCACTTGAAAATTAAAGAGTGTTACTAAATACCCTCAAGGACTCCTTTCTCCTAAGTGTCTGTCTACATGTGGGATGTGACTCCTCAGTGTCTGTCTACACATGGGATAGCTAATATGGTCCTCTCAGAGGGTAACACAAGCCACATTTTATTTTGCAAGTTTGTAGTTTTTTATGAAAGAATAAATTTTTCTTTCTTGCCCCTAATTTACCAGAATGCTCTTAAAATCCAATCACGTTAGTAAGTATGAAAACTCGATATTAAAGAGGTTTCCCCTTTCTTTATGAATGGTAGAAATTTCACAATGTGTGTTTTGTTTTCCTATAGTTTTAAGAAGGAAATTTTTTTTCTAGGGCCATGAAAGAATCCCCCCTTTTTAAAATTTATCTAGAATATGCAGAAAGTGCCATCACAGCTAACTGAAAAGTCAAAGCTTAGAGGATTGGCTTAGCCTGATTCCTGCAGGCTCTGGGCATTAGGCACCATTAAAGAGTTCAGCTTAGCCCTTCAGTAACAGTAGTAATGCTTTGATTCACTGCAGTACCACTTATAAGTTGATCTGAAATATTGGAGAGGGTTCTCCTCCTAAGGCACCATATTTGTAACTCGGGGTATTTGTAACAGGGATGTTATTAATTGTCAAATCTCTCCACTTAAGGTGGTTGCTAACAAAAATCATTGGGTATATAGTCTTCAGCTTTAAAAAATTGTTTCAGATGCAATTCCTACTTTGCACAGATGGGTCAGTTTTGTTTGAGGATTAGCACTGAGGAGTTTGATGGTCTATCTTTACTGAAGGTATTTTCTGTTAAGGTGAGCAGGACATGTCATAACGACTTCCATTTACCACCTCAGCCACAGCATTCTCCAATCCACAGGAATGCTACTTATGAACATCCTCTCCGGAAGACTGTGCCAGCATGCAAGGGAAAGTGGAGAGATGATGGGTTATGCCTGTCCCCACTGTGGTCACAGAACTTGAAGCTCTAACTTTGGAGTTCAGCAAAACAGAACCTCTGATGACAGACGGTATCTAGCAATGTCATTGTACCCAAATCTATCACATCCTAAGTTATATAGACAGAAAAGAGAGGTGATGAGAAGTAATAGATTCTCTTAAGTCATATTGTTTTAGGTGATTATAAGTTCTAGAATTTTCTGAATCCTGAACTTGTGATCTCATGACATCTCAGGATTTATTAATAGGATCTGTAAAAGATAAAACTACCCAAACTGCCCTTTGTGCTGCTCTGGTAATGACCCCAGATGTTATCTTCCAGAACTGTATCTCATGCCTAATTACTTTAAAAAAATATTTTATTTATTATTTTTATCTTATGTGTATGTGTGTATTGCCTGCTTGTAGGTAAGTGCACCCATGCCATGCAATGCCCATGGAGGACAGAAGAGGCTGTCAGATCCCCTAGAACCGGAGTTACAGATAATTGTTAGCTGCCATGTGGGTTCTGGGATTTGTACCCGGGTCTTCTGCAAGAACAGTCAGTTTTTAACCACTGAGCCATCTCTCCAGCCCCACCTAGTTACTTTTTTAAGACTACATGAAAAATCAAAATTAAAGGCAGCAGCAGTATGTTAATCTTATAAGGGAGCAGACTGCATATCTGTCTTGTTATGGATCAAAGTTATGATTGGTATGTTTCCCATTGCTTCAGTTAGAGGCTAAAATGATTATTTTGCTAATATTCAAGCAAATGGAAAATATTTATAACATCTCCTTTTTGCCACTTAAATGTTTAAAATGCTTGATTTTAAGATGTTTGTTGACTACTTATCAGGTTTTACAGTGTTTGGCTTGTCCTGGCCTCAAACAAGCCTACAGCAGCTCCTTCAGCTCTCACAAAGGCTGGCTCCTACTTAGTGCAAAAAATTAGTATTATAACAACTACTCTTGATGCCACGGCAACTGTCTAGAGGAGCAGCATTCCCTCCTAACTACTAAAAAGAGTAAATTTTGGTGTCAAATTATAGAAAGGAGCAGTCCTGGGAACAGATAGGAAATTAAATACACCACAGTAAATGCTTGGGAAAATGAACAGTATAATAACCTCATATCCTTACTTTTATGTACATGAATATAATGTATATCAACTTTTTACATGAGATAGATACAGTATTTAAACATTTTACTGGACAAATAAGGATTTACAATAGCAATATAACTGCCTAGAGGGCTGTCCACTTAATAACACTTAGATTACATCTATACTTTAACAGAGAATTTAATAGTTTACAATAATAGAAACACCAACATTTAAAACAGACTTTATAAAATAATTTAGATATATTTATATATATATCTCCCCTAGCATCTATAGAGAGGAACGATTTGCATTTGTCAAAGTGTGCAATGAATGGCATATTTTAAAATTTTTAGGTAACAAAATAATTTAGAAGCAGTTCATGCACAGGTCAAAGCAAGGGGTGGCTGTTCCTTCAAGATACCCTCTTCCTTTGACATCAACAGCATCAGACAGATGGCCCCTAAGTACCACAAGGGTACACTAGAACAAGTCTCTGGGTTACGTTATACAAACATAAATATACACGTTGTAATCCTCCCTTCTAAGTACAGGTCGTAACTGTCAGCCATAGGCATAGTCCGTTTACAGGTAAAGGGACTCAATGTCCCTCCTGGAGTTCTGCATGATGTATCTTCATTTCGGGTAACTAGCAGACCTTCCTTGTTTTTACAACTTTGCCCTGATATTTCACAGAGTGCTCTCCATGTCCAATGACATACACATCTAGCAGGTAGGACTTGCCGGGCTGGAGACCTTTGATTGTCTCTGTGGTCACTGCTTTCTGCAGGTTTTGGCTGTGGAAATATTTACAGAGGACCTTTTCTGATTTCTTCCTGGAATCTGGTCCTAGGCATTGGTTTTGCTCTCTTTTCTTTTGGTCTTCACTGTAATTGTCATCCACTTCCTTTTTGTAGATGCAAAACTTGTTCCTTTCTTGAGTGCCTAGCCAAGCCACTGTGACTGAAGAACAGGTACGGAGCTTGTCAAAGGCTTTGATTCTCGTATCTTCGGGGAGAGCGGGGAAGGCTTGCTTGCTCGGCCTGGTGGTAGCCAGGATCTTCAACACAGATGCTCCTTTCTTGTTACCTTTCAGTCGAATGAGGTATTTTGCTTTAGGTTTTCCCCTTAGCTGGAGCTGCCGAACGCCTTCCACACTCTGCGACAGGACAAGTTTCCCATCTCTTCTCACTTGAATTTGGACAGTGTCCAGACAAGAGTGAATAAAAAAGGTGACTTTCTGGTGAGAAGAGACTGGAGCAAATCGTAGAAACTTTGCACCCTTCCTTTTAACAAACACATCTGTAACTCTCCCATCTTTGAGCTCCACAGTCTTCTGTTTTGCTTCCTCCTTGGTTCTGGCAAAGGCGCCCACATAAGCTGTGCTCATGTTGCTGTTGGTGTTGACCACAAAGACATCAAAGTAGTATTGTGTGTCGGGCTTCAGGTCAGAGACTGTGAAGATGTTTTTGTTTCCTATGCAGATTTTCTGAATGTCGACCTTAGGCCTCCAGGAGATATGGCGCCCCAGCTTTGGAGAAGACTTTGTTATGAAGCTGCGCTCTTTACCCAAATTATCTGATGGAAATCCAAAATGGGCAAAGTCAAAGGGGCTGAAGTCCAGGCCAGGCTTGGGTGCCATCATGAAGGCATCGTCTGCCCTCAGCTTTGCTTCCACTGCACAGAGGCTTTTGAAATTGTGTTTCTTGTTGATGACCACGCAGTACTCAATGGGCTGTCTCAGTAAGGAGGCTGTAGGGCTTGGCTTCCAGGCCAAAGTGACTGTGGTGCGACCCAGGGAGGTCACATCAACTCTGGGGTCATACGGTAATTCAGGGTATGGCTGGTCAGACTCTGGAGTGGTGGTGGCATATACTTTGAAATGTGTGTCTTTCTCTGTTGAAAGAAGCTCCAGCTGATACAAACCAGATGAGGAACTTGAAGACAGAAAGTACTCGACGTCATTGCCCTTGTAGGAGAACAGCTCTGTGCCCTCCTCGTTGGTCATCTGCTGCCTTTGCTGCTCCAGTGGCTCAGGCTCACCTGGAAAATACCAGAGAAACACAGGCCATGTGTCATTGTGACTTGCCACCCTTAGATTGTGCTTTCAAACATGTCATTTTTCCTTCATTTCAAAAATAAGATATGCTCGTTAACAGAAAAACAGCATTAAAAAACAAGCTAAAAATAAGAAGAGCCATTCATTCTTTACCAGAGACAATCATTTCTTACTACTTTATTTCCATACAGTCTTTTGACTTACACACTTTAAATAGTTAATATTATTTTGACTAATTCCTCTCTGTAGCAATATATGCATGTATCTTCATGCACATATCAATCTAGATAAGCCTCTATTTTTGAACCCTGTTTTTCTCACTCAATATTATATCATAAAATAATTTTATTGATTGATTTTTTTGACCATGATACATGAAGCCTTTATATATAAACAAGGCTTTTCTGAATTTAAATCATTTCTTCAGGACAGAATGCAATTAAAGGAAAGGTTGGATTAAAGACTAAACTTTTTAGATATTATTAATCTGGCTGTGAATCAAAAGAATTCAAACATTTTGCATGCGGATGGTTAGCCATTGTACTAATTTCACTGTGAGTAGGACTGGATGATCTGATTAAAATTCAAAATGTAAGGAACAGTGAGAGTAGCTGAGGGTTGGTGTCTGGAACAGGTGTCCAAGAGTCGTAACAGGGGAAGAAGTGAAGCCTTAGAAAATTTCCTCTGTTCTTGCTACTGTTAATATCAATGTCATGTAGATGTAAGCAGAAAGTTCTAGAATCTGGTGAGCTATTGGGTGACCAGAGCGAGAATAAGCCTTTTCTAGCTTATCACCAGAAGCTGTAAATGAAGCATGTAGTGTTTCTTATTCCCAGTATGGGAAGCACACAGGCATTGCATTGCTGTGATCATGTCAGACTTCCTCTATTGTCTAGTCTCATTTCTCCACGAGCATGTCCAAGAATCCCTAAGCACTTTAACTCCCAAGCAACAGCACGTGTCACACCTTTACCTTTAAGATGCCCTTAAAGAGGCCACAGCGTCTTCATGGCCCGTTCAGACCTCCAATTTCGCTTGTCTTGCTATTCGCTTCCCGCCATCTCTGTCTTCTCTAAGGGTCCACCCCACTCCTAGTGACTTGTTTTTCACTTGGCCACTAGCTCAATGTTTCTCTGCTTCTTTGTGCTCACCCTTTATTCCCCAGAGAAGAAATGGTCTTAACTAACCTTTGCTAAGCATCAGAATTACCTAAGAGGCTTTGTAAAAGCCCAATGTTCAGGTCAGACACAACAGCTAACCCAGTACTTCTGATGAAGTCGGTACTTCTTGACCAAAATCAAGGCACTGTGGTTTTTAAGAGTATCCCAAATGATGCGAATGCACAATCAAGAGTGCAGATAACAGCCACAGAGGCCAGTTTAGACTGCTCGCCTTCACACCCCCATCTATCTGTTTTATTTTACTAAGATCAGTGTCATCTTGCCATCTTTAGTACCAGTTTTACATGTGCAAGCTGGCTGCTTCCCTTACGTGCAGAAGGCTGTGTTTCATAAGCCTACCAACCCAACTGTTTATTCAGAGGTCTGAGGCCACCTGGGTCCTGCCCTTACCTGATCCTTCTGCACTTGCCTCCTCAGGCAGCTCCTGGAGGCTCAGCTTCCACTCCAAAGGTGCATCACAGGGCGTCACTGTGACAGATAATGGCGAGTTGTCCTCCTCCACCACAAAGAAATACCTGTGGGCAAGTAAAACACTTCAGACCCTGTGATTCCAATACTGACAACCAAGATGGACTGGAAAAGCCATTTTGTTTTCATTTTTATTCATTTAACAGAATCAAACTGTCAAACAGAACGTAGAACTGTGGAAGTCTAATAATCTCAAGGCCAAATCCAAATCTGCTGACAGATTTACCATCAACAAATACAGTGTGAGATAATGAAAAGGTATTCAGTCAAAAGAATTCTGAGTTAAAGATGAAACCTCAACCACAGACCTGACACTATAAAGTAAGTCACAGCCCACGAGGAATTTCCTAAGTGCCCTTCAGGCACTGTGTTTTCATAACCTTGTATGCTACAGGATGGTACTCAAACATGATACATGCTAGTCCAAAAAGATCCTTTTCAAGCAGCATAGTTCTGAAAAGTACCTTGGTTTCTGGCAAGATTACACTGTCTGCCTTTCCAAGTTAGTGACTTTTATCACAGCTTGACTATTCTGTATTGTTTTGGATAAAGGATTCTAATTATCAATGCAACATAGTTTTTAAAATAAAATTCCCTGTCAGTCAGTAGAACTAAAAGTTTATAATTTCTTTATCAATAAGATTTCCTGTTGAATTAAGTAAGTTAATGGTTTTAAAACAGAATTTTAAAATATGAAAACATTCTTCTCTGTACTTTTCCCTCAAACTTTTTTAGTGGTCCCTCAAGAGATATTTTAAAGAGAATAAAAATATCACTTAACCTATAAAAACAATGCACATTCTAACAGTGAACTTAATTATCTTCTGAAGCCTATAATCTTCCAAATGAAGAAGTCTGGTTTCATCCCTATGAGCCCCGAGCTTCTCCTGAGTCCCATGGCAATGGAGGCAGGTGTAACTTACCTCCGGCACACTGTATCAAGTCAGTGTGTCTTACATCCCTCTTTTCCCCAAGCCCACCAAGAACATGCCTCCTCCCTGCCCTGTTCCCATGTGACCTCATTTGGACATCTGGCTTTAATGTTCTGGTCTAAATCCAAAACCTGAACTCCTGTTACCTTCAGTAAGACAGTGGCACTTCAAACTGAAGACTTCTGATCAAATTCCTGTAGCCAACCCCTTCCCAGCAGACAAGGCAAGCCTCTGATCATCCCTGACAAATGTTTTACAGTCAGTCTTAACTTTCTTTTTCTTTCCTCCATTCCACTCACAAGACACCAGCAGACACTTTTGACTCCTTCTCCAAATGTGCATTCCCACTGGCCCAAGCCTTGCTGTGACATCCTGACCAGGCTCCCTGCTTGAAAAAGCTGGAGTCCTTGGGTTCCTTCGTTGTTTGTCAGCCAGGGCGCGATCCTCATGCACCATCACTCACAGTGCTTCCCCTTGCTCAAAAGCCCCTGAGAACTGCTTGTTGCATTTAGAGTAAGAGCCACAGAACTGGCATTATCTTGTGAGTCTCTTTGTGTTCAACCCCAACCAAATCTTTGTTCCTGCTTTGCTCGGAACCTTTCTTTTATTGGGGACACGTATGTACGCACCTGCAGGGGCCTCTGTTCCTCCTCCTCCAGCGGGGGAGGGGGGACCCCCCTTCCCCTAGACAGGGACCTCTCATACATAGTCACTTCCTTCAGCCTCTAGGCCAGCATTCCTGGAGACCCACTGTGTCTATTTATATTTGAATCCATATGTAAAACCAATTCATTCTTACTGACGCTGTCCCTTAGTCCCTTTCCTTCAAAGTATTTGACACCTAAGTATTTCTTTTGTTACTTTTTTGTTTTTTCTATCTCCTCAACTAGAATGAAAACCACAAGAGGGCAGGCCATTTATCTCACGGGTGCACACTCAGACACTGAAAGAACTCAAAATATTGTTGAACGAATCAATAAATTGCTATTTCCACCTCCAAATCATTTTTCTACCTCTAAATTCTTACATTACAACAAGAGTAATCTCCATAGATAGAAAGTCTAGTCTGAGATTTCAGCTCTAAGACCCTTTGCAGCTTTAGATTTAGCTTTGGGGAAATTTTTAGTTGATCAGGAGGTCAGGCGTTGAGAGTGGGGGCTCCTGCCTCCTCACAGGGTTCTGGCTGTGTCTACTTTAGATATCTGTGGTGAGTCCACAGTGGACTTCTTTAGTTGCCGCCTTTCTGGGCATTTGAGGTGCAGTTTGTCTGAAGTTCCCCACTCTTCCCCTATGCATTTAAATAACCATTCTTTGGAGATGCCTCTTCTGGCTCATATACTCTCTGGGTGCACACACTTTTCATTTCTGGAATTCACTGCCATTTGTGACTTTGTGTATTTGTCTGATTATTTGAACTCATTTTCTTCAAGGGTCCATTTGGGGCTCATTTTTCATATCACTATGTCCCCCATGCTAAGCACATATTTCTGCACATAGCAAGTGTCTGATAGACATTTCTGAATGAACGAATTACTAAATTGAACTAAACTGTTAAGAATCTTAACAGCAGTCTTCATTAGTCTAGCCTGAGGCTATGTATATCTAGACTCTGTTTCTATTTGAAGATACAGAATCTGAATAAAAACAGAAGTAGTTTTTCCTCCAAATTATTCAAAGATGAACTTGAAATGGCAGGTGAGAACAGGGCAAAGAGAAGACAAAGAGAAGAGCCTGTTAGAACAAATGCAGCTGTTTAGAGCACCAGATCACCATCCGGACAAGACTGCTAGGTGATGCAACTGCTTCCCGCATAGGAGGCGTCATGTACCACTGCCTCCTTAAAGGTGTCAGCATATTTACTATTTAATTCTGTCCACTTTCTGACATTTTTGTTCCCTTAGCATGGATGGCATTAACCATATGAATACAACTAAACTGTTTATATTATAAAGATACATCACAAAATAGTTGATTTTGGATTTTATGCGAGCATCACAGGACAGTGATGCTGACGCAAAACACAGCAGTCAGGTTCATTTTTTACCTTCTGTTCTCCTTTCAGGCAAGTAGCTCATTTCTCCAGGGGAGCAACCATATCTTAGTAACTCAACTACAGACCTACAAACCATAGGCAACTACTAACTAAAAGGAGGAAGGATATTTGCACCCAGCAGCGGGGAGTCACTAAGGCAACACTTTTTACAGGAAAGCTAATAATTAGTGATGAATGAGACTGTATAAACTGATCAGTTTGACATTTATTGTTAACGATGAACAAAGGATGTGTAGACGAGAGTGGGAATAAGAAGAGATCCGACATGATCTTTGTGTTCAGATATGTACTGAGCAAGGAGGTAGACAGAAATTAAATGAACAAGGAAGTGTGCCCAAAGGCTGAGGGATACCACAAATCACATGTCTGAACGTGAGAATAACTGATGAGGTTGTCTTTTCTCTACGCCTACAGACAAATCTTACATGAAATTTCATCCTAGGTGGAACATCAACAATGGAATTATGTTTCTATTTGTGGCTACAACTCCACATAACTAGTGTAAGTAAGCACCTTAAACAATACAGGATACTAAGGCCTTAAAAATTATTTTGGGGAAAAAAGACAAAAATAAGAAATTAAAAAATGAAAGAAAAGGGAGTGAGACTGATAGCTACGTGATGTCTTCTAACCAAGGCACGTTTTAAAGTACTGTAGGACTAAAACTCATTTAACTTTTAAGAGATTAGACGATCACAGAAGATGAAGTATGTATTTGAGTAAGTGCCGTGGTTCCATAATGTGAAAAGCTGTACTTAAGGAATATTGCAAAGAGAACGAAGCAGAGGCATATTTGAAAAGTGAAAGTCATTCCTAATGAAAAACTCTGGTTTGATCTGATTCACTTAAACTTTTCGCAGGACAAAAGCAAACTGTGCTTGGCAACAGACAGTTCAGTTAACATTGACGAGTCCTCTGAAGTCATATAAGGCTTCGTATATCTTTTCCAATTCTCACAGACTAAGCCCCCGTAAGGACCAACCCAGCCAGATCCTCCAATATACTATGCATTACATTTTATGACTTCAGTCTTACGAATGCCACTTAAAGATTCATAGTTATTTACATTTCAAGTCAGTTCGTAGTCTATTGCATTCATTCACACAAGCCATTTTACTCCATTGTAGAAGTGATGCCCACAGCACTTCAGTCAAAATAGGGAAACCTGTCCTCATTCCAACTGATCCAAGGGTGCCATGATTGGAGGTGATTTAAAATACTGCTTCCCTCCATGAAACTGAAAAGATGAGCTAAGGATCCTAAATATCTCAGTCTTTGGAGAGTGGATATGAATGATGGAGGGCAACCTAATGTCTTGGAATGACAATGTATCTCAGGTTAAAAAGAGACTTTTTTTTTTTTGGTCTTTTTGAGACATGGTTTCCCTGTAGCCCCAGCTGTCCCAGAACTCACTACGTAGACCAGGCTGGCCTTGAACTCACAGAGATCTGCCTGCCTCTGCCTCCCTAGTGCTGGGATTAAAGGCGTGTACCACCATGCCCGGCCAAGACATTGTTTTTAAATATTCTAAAATCCAAAAATAACTATGAAAGGCAGAGAAAGACTGGAGCATGGTAAGGTCAATAACTTCCAGTATAACAGTTTATGCTATATCATGTTTATATTTGTATAACTTTTAAAGATTGAAATGCTTGGAAACATGTAAGTCTAATTCTTGATGTTGGAGTAAGTGCAATGATCAGTGTCACCATTTTATCACTATTTGATTCTCTCAGAATCTGATCCAACATTAAATATTATCCTAATATAATTACAAATCCTCAAAGAATCATACATGCTGTAGTAATTTCAATTTAATCCTACAGACTCTGTCTTAGAAACTTCTGACTATCCTAAAAATGATAGGAGACTAGTTTCAAACTTAAAAAAATACCAGGGTTGCCTCCTCCATCTAACAGGAAAGCACCCAAGCAAGATTGAAGTGGCCTCAATTAATAACCAGAAATTGAATGATCGCTAATTTTTTCTTAGAGAAAATATGCAAAGCTGTTCATAGGTTGATTTTCAAACTATCTCAACTACATTGGCAAGGTTATTGTCTTCTGTGGAAGCATCTTTTATGCCCATATTGATCAGAAAGTATGGCAGGAAATGTACCTTTTAGGTGTGTCTCTAAAGAGATAACTGCTAATTTCTGCTCCATCTGGAATCACAGATGAATCGTGGAAAAATGCCTTATCCCGGATCTGCATCTGAAAGAGCTCCTCATCTCGAGTAGGTAGCTTCTGGGTCCTTGAGGTGAGTGGTAAGAGCAGCCACAGCAGACGCCAGTTGAGCAGCACCATCCTGGGCAGCAGAAATGAACATTTCTGTTAGTTCTGCAGGCGGGCAAGGTTAGCACAAAGTTAGCACTCTTGATTTGACAGACACAGAGAGGTATCACATATCCTGGATGCATACACGATTTTGAAGGCAGTTTTCCTTCTGTTTCATAACATTGAGAATGAGTTTACCAGAATCTCAGCTGTTAAGAAAAGATTTTGAAATGAAAAGCCTTTTGATGCTTTAATGTCCCTGGAAACAGAGAAAATTGCCACTTCATTTGACAAAAGCCAAAATGATCCTTATTGATGCTGTTTTGTCAGTACCTGAAAACATGACTTAGAGAATCGCTGAGGTCAGGCTTTTCAATTGCTGATTGGTCGGAATCATTGTTCAGCAGTCGTTACTAATTATTGATATAGTTAAACTATTACTTTTAGCCTAAGTTATAGGGACCCAATCAAAAGGCAGACTTTTTCTTGCACATTTTTTATTGCTTAAATGTTGACTCAGGATTTCATATAGTATGTTATTTATCTCAACATTAGAGTTTCATGAATCAGAGATATTTTTAAGATTGTAATACTCAGCTCCATCATCTGTAAAACAATTTATTTGAAAGGGTCAAGCTAAGTATTGATGTCTAATTGTTAGAGACAAGCAGCAAACACATTTGTATATAAAACTGAACCATCACAGGAAGTGGGCTCGGACCCCACTAGTCAGACAGACCTTTAAAAACATTGCTTTACCCTCCCGAGGGATATGGCGTTACAGTGTGGTGTTTATCGTTGCCTTGGCACTTTTCCAAATGTGATATATGTACTGTTTCATCTGGGCTGCTGACAGCCAGCCCTGTGACAAGAGCACATAATTTTTCTCATTTTACAAATGATCAAAAAGGCTCAGACAAGTAAGAGTGCATACTACATCCTACCTGATATAAAAACTATGAGCTATTCGTCATAAGTTAACTTTATAAGCACAGTAAATCTGGTTCACATTTAGTCTTCACTTTGGCCACTCAGCCAATTAGCAAACAATTTGAGTTTGTAGAATTAGGCAATAAGGGGAAAGGAGAAGCTATACATTTGCTGTTTTTACTATCTTGGATCAGGAAATGTGTTCTTTTTTCTTTTCTGGCCTTTTTTAAAACAGAGTCTCCCTGTAGCTCCAGCTGGCCTGGAACTTGCTATGCAGACCAGGTTGGCCTTGAACTCACAGAAATCTGCCTGTCTCTGCTAGGATTAAAGGCATGTGCCAACACATCTGGCTAGGAGCTGGGGTTTTAAGAATAATAAGGCTGAGTATTGCTTGTCTGAAATGCTTAGGGTAGAAGTGCTTGGATTTGTTATTGTTTTGAATTTGCATAATCGTAAGGAGATCTTGGGGATGTGATTTTGTTTTAAACACAAAATTCACTTATGTTTCTTACACATCTTATAAGAATGGCCCAAAGAATGATTTATAAATTAAAGTTAATGATTTGATAAATGAGTAAAATTTCATAGTGTGGAATTTTTGACAAGTGAAGTTAGGTTGGGGCTCAAAAATTTTTATATTTTTGGAGCATTTCAAAATTTAGAGATTTTTGGATTAGGGATGCTTACCTTGTCTACTAAACAGCCTGTGGATCAAAGAGTAAGCCTGACTACTACCCAATGTTGAAGACTTGGATTCCCTGAATGAAGTTGCCTTTTTGTATCATCTTGTGTGAATTAGAGGTCAGGCAGCAGTGGAAGCAAATGATGATCCTGTGTCAACTGCTAGTCTACTGAGGAACGCCATCTCTCCGACCCAGGAGTGTCCTACTGTCTTCCCGCATCCAAGAAACCATGACAAACTCATTATTGGCTTGTACATTGTGTAAAATTCCAAATTCTTCAGTCCCTGACACTAAATTCCACTTATTAAATTATTTTGCTGGTTTGTTTACTTATGTCTCAGGTAGACATTTTTAGATTCCCACTAAGAAAGAATAGTCTTGACTTCCTAAATTAAAAAAATTAATTAGCACATAACTATTACATATATTTATGAGTTACAGTGATATGATATGTATATAATGTATAGTGATCAAATCAGGGTAATTAGCATTTGCATTTTCTTAGACATCTATTATTTCTTTGTGTTGGGAACTTTTTGATCCTCTCTTCTAGCTCTTCTGAGGAATGTAATAAATTATCTTAAGGGTAGTCACTCTGTGCTATAGAACTCTGGAATATATGATTTGTGGATTTGGTGCCCATTATCCAACTTTCCTCTATTCTCTTTTATTTTCCTTACCAAAATATTGTATTTCCTCAACTATAATTCTAATGGGGTACACATTTTGTTTCTGAAATAACTTTAACCATCTTAACTGCTATGCCAATTGTGCACAAGACAGTTTTTTTTTCCCAGACACATGCTTAAAATTAGTATAACCTAAAAACATAGGCATTTGTATCCTATGACATTATGCTTTTCAATGGTCTACATATACATATACATATTTATGTATTTTGTGGGGAATAAAGTGCATGTGCTGTGGAATATCTATATACAGAGGTTATAAGACAACTTAATGGGAGTCGATTCTCTCCTTCCACCACATCTGTTCTGGGCTGAACTCAGGCTGTCAGGCTTAACTGCAAGTGCCGGGGAGCCAGCTCACTGGCCCCTTAACATGTTAGCATCCAATAATTGATGAAGAAGAACTTTAAGGAACATTAGTCATTTGTTCAGTTTTATCAGATTACAGGCAAGATTTATTTTTAACAAACAATATTTTTAGAAATCACCAAAAGTAATCAAACTTACTTTGCAAATATACTGCATATTTTTAATTCACAATTTGTATTCACTAATCAAAAATTAAAGCTTTATGCAGAGCTTGTGTAGAAAGATGTCTTAAGGTTTTAGAGTTTCTTTATTCCACCAATAAAATACTATTATTTAGTCTAAGAATTAGCCACTTAAAACTTTATTTTTAGCATTAGCCTAAAAAGGAATAGGTTTTGTTTATCATGCCTTCATATACGTCATTATACTTTATTCCTATTCACACCCTCCTCTATCTCCTCCCCTATCCTCCTGGCCCCCTCCTCCCTCTAAATAGTTCTTCTGTTCTAATAAGACATGAGGAATCAGCCACTTTAAGTAAACAACAGAAAATGTATTCTTTTTCAAAGTAAGTCTGCTAAGTCAAGCTCTAAGAACAGACTTCTAAAATTACAAAAGTGCCCCCTAATGGCATAAACTTCTCTCATTTCTCTATATCTAGGGCTTATCTAGATCTAAAGTTTGAATTAACACTGAACAGGCCAGGAGTGGCATATGCCTGTAATCTTAGCACTTGGGAGGTAGAGGTAGGAGAGTCAGGAGTTCAGAATCATCCTCAGCTACACAGCCAGTTCAAGGTTAGCCTGGGCTTCAATGAGACCTTGCCTCAAACAAACAAAAGAAGAATGTATCCATTCAAATAAAAACCAAACCAAACCAAAAGCAAAAACAACAGAAACCCATTAATGAGAACCTCCGCTTCCAGCACCCCTTCTTGCTCAGCCATCTGGTGGATAATGTGGGGAACGTGTCCAAAAGCACGATATCTTGATGTCTTTCTACAGCAGAGTCTAAAGCTCAAACAGAAGGAGAACGTTGTCAGGATGGTTCTAAATCTATATATGTTTGGCTGGGCAAATCAGTCATTTTGGGCTTCAGGATTGTTCATAACCCAGAAAAACTTCATGTTGTCATCTAAATGCAGTGAAGAGTGACTTTCACTGTTTGGGTTGGAAAATTCTGGTGACCCCAGCATTCAGATGCTAACCAAAACTCTGACACTGTCAATGTTGCCCAACACCTTCCTTATATCTGGCATACACCTTTAAATCCTACCAAAGCTGAGGAGAGAGGAGAAAAACATCTTAATGCTTGGACCCAGCTAAATCTTTGAAAACAGTCTATTGATAAGATGATTAAAAGTTTAAAAGTCTCTCTCTCTCTCTCTCTCTCTCCTCCCTCTCCCTCTCCCTCTCCCCCTCTCTCTGAAGTACTGGAGAGTAAAGAGAAGGTGTTTCTGAAAGACTATCCAAATTACAGATTGTGCATGCATTCTATATTGACAAATGTAAAGAGGGTTTGGGGGCATTATAAAATAATAACTCTACATTCATTTGTATGTTATGTGTAATCACATGTATTTTTCAGGCTAACATATTTAGAAATATACAAGTCTAGCTAGTTGATGTGGAAATAAAGATTAATGAGAAGAGGTCCCAAAGGAAGAATCTTTTCAATATACAAATGAGGCATTTGTTGCTGCCCTCTGGTAATGGCAAACGCTGCAGCTCAACAGCTATGTGGATGGTTTTCCTCTCGGTGCTTTAGGACTCTGGTGCAGACCTGTGTCTTCTATTCTTCTACCCCTGCTGGACTCACAGGAATACGGACTGCAAGAGACACACTGAAGAATAGTTTTATAGAGTAAGCCAATTAATAGACCTATTTTATTTTTAATTCTGTGTGTGTGTGTGTGTGTGTGTGTGCGCAAGCGCGCGCGCTGCACCTAGTGAGGGCAAATGCCCTCATATCCCTGGAGCTTGCCTTTAGTGTTTATAGACTGCTGTTTAGTTATCTTTCCTTCCTTCTTTCTTTCTTTCTTTCTTTCTTTCTTTCTTTCTTTCTTTCTTTCTTTCTTTCTTTCATTTCATATGGATATATGAGTGTGAATGCATGTGTGCCACAGTGTTCCCATTCTGTGGCTGTCAAAGGACAACTTTCAGAAGTCAGCTTTCTCCTTCCACCAAGTAAGTTCCAGCACTCAAATTCGAATTAGCAGGCTTGATGACAAGTGCCTTTACTCTCTGAACCATCCTCCAGCCCTGAAAAGCTTATTCTATGAAGCCCCTAGTGTGGTTTAAACAAACGGTCAAACTGACTGGCTTATGCCTTTCCCACAATGCAGAGAAGTGTTTGTGAACTGTAAGACAGCCAGCTAATAAGCAAAGTGAAACTTAAAGTACACTTGAGTGATTTACCAT